AGAGGTGCGGGCGCTGCCTAGAAGAGGGCCAGAGAGACCGTCCGTCACATTGGTCTCGCCCCTACTGCCTCCTTTCAGTGTGCCCACCCTTGCCCCTGGCAGTTTCGCTGCCTGTTTCCCCCACTAAAACGTGAACTTTGGGGGGCAGGTTCTTGCCTTCTCTCACTGGGCACCTGGCTCATAGCAAGCCCTTGGCCCGGAAGTCTTGGGTGAATGAACGAATGAGCATGTCTTAGGGCCTCTCCTTGACAGGTGTGGGGGGATGTGCCTACTGGAAAGGGCACCGAGCTGAAGCCTAAACCCCCTCCTGAGGAGCCGGGGAAGCCTGCGTTCCTCCCATTCCTGGGACTGCAAGAGGCACATTCCTGTCCCTGAGTCTGGTCGGGCTCCTGCCACGCAGCTCAGTCTGGCTGCCAGGTCCAGAAAGGCCTCCCTGGAGCTGCCCCTCTGGCTCCACCTCCCCAGGACCCCAGACTGCCCCACAGCTGCAGCAGCACCCGCTCTCCGTCTTATGAGGCTGCTAGTGGGAAGCTGGGACCCCCGAGTGTGTCTGAAGCCTTCCAGGCACTCCTCGATCCTCTGGTGATCAATGAAAACCTTCACATCCTGCTTCCAGGGCTGAAGCCAGGGATTTGGAAAATTGGTCGAAAACACTCCTATAAGCTGGGGCTCGCTCTGCTGTGGAAAACTGCCGGCATCAGCACTTCTCCCAAGGCTGTGCCGAGTCAGCAGCCGGCCCACTCTGGAGCTGCCTCCGAGGACCAGGTGCCTACAGGACCCTGTGAGGAGCTTGAAGAGTTGTGGCTGATGGAGGGATTTCTGTCCTGGGCTCTAGGAATTCTAGACTGGGCCCTTCCTCAGGGGGCTTTCAGTCTGGCAGGGCAGACAGACATAGGCAAATAAGCACACAGCTAACTGTGCCATCACTGCAGAGGGAAGCGCCATGGAGGGGCATGAGGGCCAGTTGCGGGAAGGAGCTGGGGCTAGCATGTGCCTGTAAAAACCAGATAGTAAATAGTTCAGGCTCTGTAGGCCACAGGGTCTTTGTCCCAACCACTCAACTCTGCCACTGCTGCATGAAAACAGCCACAGGCAATATGTCAACCCAAGAGGGGTGGCTGTGCCCATATGAAAACAGAGGGCGGATTTGTCCCCCAGTTTGCCAGGGCCTGGTTGTTACAGGGCCTGACCTGATCGGGGTGGGGGTGATAGTGGGGAGAAGGCTTCCCCGGGGCAGGGATGTTTAGATAAAAGCTGCAGGCTGATTCAGTGATGAATCACAGAATCAGGCAGAATCACAATATTGACAATTATGACAATCACATCACCACAATCAAGTTCCACCTACCACGTGTGTTCTGTGCCGGGCACTGTGCTAACAACACAACCCTATGAAGGAGGGAGACTTTATGTCCACTTTACAGATGGAGACACTGAGGCTTGGCAGTATGCTGAGTAGTCTGTTTGCACAATTTGGTTGCATTTTTTGCCCTGCCCACTTGCCACTTCTGGTCGGGGGAGGCTGCCCCCTGAGATGCATTTCCTGGACCCTTTGCCCCTAGCTTTCTACTGGATTTGGCCAAGGAAAGGCTCTGGCAGCAGACTGAGGGCTGGAGGAGAGAGAGGCCAGGGATTTCTCTCTGCTCCCTCCTGCTTCCCCCTCCCTGCCCACAGACCCTGCACAGCCAACCACCCTCCAGAACTCAGCCATCCCTGGGGTTGGTAACACTTCTTCCCCACGCCCTTCAGCCTAGGACTCCAACCTCCCCAGGACCCTGGGCTGGCCCATGGGTGCCTCGCCATGCTTTACTGGTTCTGTTCATTAAAGTCTCTTCATGTGAACCATCTGGGGTCCATTCTGTCCCCTGCCAGGGCTCTGATGCTGGAGGTTGGCTGGCTTGCTGGTTTCTGCTCTCACATGGCTAATAAACAACAGAGCCAAGTAGAGGTGTGGGTGGATCGTGGGAAAGGAGGCTGTACCTAAGGAGGCTGGGCCAGGGCTGGCTCCTGGCTCCCCAGCTGACTTCCAGGACAGTCAGGGGTCAAAAGAGGTCAGGAAATGCAGTGCCTCCTTTCCTGCACCAGGGCCCAGTGAGTGACCCCCTTCTTGAGGCCCCCAATTAGCACTTTTAGTTGTCTAAGACCAGCTCCAGGTCTGCAACCTCCTGGTCTTCTCCCTAACCTTAGCAGGGGGAGCCAGTGTTGCTCAGTGCAGACCTGGGCTGGGGGCTGGGGCTGAGGCTGAGGTGGAGGCAGGGCCCTGGGCTCTTCCTCAGGGAGGAGATAGTGGGGCAGATGGTGGTGAAATGAAGGGACCAGCTGGGTCAGATAGATGCCTGGAGGGGAAGAGGAAGCCTCTGTTGCCATCGCCCTGGCAGGAAGCAGCCTGCAGGCGTGTTGAATGGCTGGTGCTAGGGAGAGCCAGACTGGCAGATGAGGGCTTGGGCTGGAGGTGAGGCTGGACGCACCAGGGAGGAGGGGGGCCCTCTGAGCCTCAGTCATGAGGCTGCAGCACCAGGACCCCCTCCATACTTGGACCAGTGTACACCAGAGGCCCACCCAGAGCTGCAGCCTGGCTCTTCATCCACCCGTCTATCCACCCACCCACTCACCCATCCATCCTTCTCCTCCAAAAACCCTATGAAAATTGAGCATCTACAAAAGGCAGGCATGATGCCAGGTGTGAAGATTTAATGAGGAATGAGTCAGGCCCAGTGACCAGACAGAGAATAATGACAAGTTGTGGTGAGTGCCATAAAGAAGTCGAGAGCTGAAATAAAGGCCGCCCTGAGCCCAACAGGATGAGCAGCAGCAGACCACGAAAACGAGGGGAAGAATGTCTAAGGCTCGAGCGAGGGGCCTGGGGAGGAGAACTTCACAGAGGCCTTGCTCCTCTCAGGCAGAGGTGAGGCTAGGATGTGGCCTGTGGATGGCCAGAGCCACTAGGGAGAGGCAGAGGTGGCTCACGCCAAGGTGAACACCACCCTGGGCCTGACCCTGGGCCCTCCCACCTCTCCCTGCTCAGTGGCTCCAGCAGGGAATCAGGCAGGAAGAAGGGGCACTGGGAGGCGAGTATTCCAGAGCTGTCTGAAGAGCAACAAGTGTGGCATGGAGACTTCTTGGCATTTAGAGAAGTCCAGGGATGTGGCTCATCCTGTTAAGGCTACTGAACTGAAGAGGCTGCAAAGGCCAGACAGGCCTCTTATTCACACTAATTTGGAGGGGACTCAGAAGGACAGACCACCACTTCCATTTTGCTCCAGAATTCTGGCACTATCTCCCAAAGCAATAGGCTAGTCTTTGCTAGCATTCCTTCTGTAGCTCTAAATAACTGCTGTCTCCTACAGTCTTCTGATAGGAACCCTGCCCTGCTCCCTCCGCCTCCCCTCACAGGTCAGGTGTAGGTGACTGAGCATCTAAAAGGAGGAATGCTGACCGAGGGGAAAGGTGTTCTAGAATGTCAGAGATGACAAAGTAGAGACAAGACCAGCACTAGGAGCCTTCCTTCTGGCCACCCTTGCTGGGGGCACCTGCCACATATGGAAGGCAATGGATTTGGAAGACTGCAAGAGATATTTTAATACTGGGCTTATGGAAACCCTGTGAACATCAAGTTTCCGCCAGGACTGTCTTGAGGTATAGATAACAGCATTTCCAGAGGCCTCGAGAATCAACCAGCATGTCTCTCTAAGATACCAGACCCGAGGGGTGCTGGAGGCAGGGTCCGGCTTGTACAGTGCAGCCAGGAGAGGCTGGAAAAGGCAAGCAGCCCGGAGTCCCCCCAGGAATCGGGGCAGAGCCTTACTGGGTGGGGCTCATGAGAGGCTGCCACACTGGCCCTATGGGCTCTGTGGTCCTGTGTCCACCAGGAGCTGTTACAGAGGTTGGCCTGACACGGGAGAGTGAGGAGAGTGGCTTGAGCAGGTCAACGCGCTAGGGGAGGTGTGGCACCAGGTAGCAGCTTGCAACAGCCACCCCCTTACAAACACGGCACATCAGACTCTGAGCTGAGTGCCTTCGAAATAGTATTTTGTTTTTGACATTCCAGCGTTCCTCGGAGGAGGGTTTCATCATCCCATTTTATAGGTTTTTTTTTTTTAAAAAAAAGAGGCCCAAAGGGGTAAGTCACTTGTCCAAGACTGCAGTGGCCTAGAACCCAGGGTGCTATGACCTAGAGCACAAACCAGCGGGAGGAAGTGCTGTTGGGTTCCCCTCGACCCCCCACCCCGCCGACCTCTCCCTGGACAGCCGTGGAGATCAGCTCCTGTCACTGAGAGCCAGTTGGAATATGAGTAAAAGGTAACCATTAAATAATAACGATGAAGCAGCCAACACTGAGCGCACTTTCACAATGTTAGTGTGAGCAGAGCACTTTACAGGCAGGCATGAGCTTACTCAGGCATTACAACAATCCGAGAAGGTAAGTCCTCATATTATGTTCATTCTGTGGATGAGGCCACTGAAGATTACAGGTAAAGCGACAAAGCCAGGAAACAGCGGAGCTCGGGCTTGACTGCAAAGCCTGGGCTCAAATCACTAGGGGACAGTGTATGTGTGTGTGTTTCACAAGTCTGATGAGCCACCTGCACCTGGTGACACCAAATATCCTGGGCATCCTCCACACCCGTCCAGGGCACACCCCTCCAGGCCTGGGCAGCAGCCCTGCTAAGGGTCCAGAGAGCCTGGAGAAGATGGTGGGGCTTTCTCTACCTTGTGTGCACTCCCAACTTGGGGCTCTGATCCTGCCTCTCTTGGGGTTGTTCAGGCCCAGGCTCTAACACTCAGGATCTTCCAGGGAGCCCCGGCACAGGGGGGAAGCACACAAGTCCTGCATGATCAGGAGCCTGGGCAGACTGGTGCAGGAGGGCTGTGAACAGGGAGAGCTGAGTCTGCTAAGCTGCAAACTTCACTTGCCCTTGGGCTCCCCAGTCAAGGCCAACTCTGGCAGCCACAATTAGGCTATGAAGCGGGTTTGCTCCCACTCGAGGTAGCTACAATACCTGCAAGATCTTCCTTGGAAGAGACTAGTCTTGGAGAGCTGCTTCCTGGTTCGATTCTGAGCGACAGTCTGAAAACAAAGATTTTCATAAGATCAGATGGGCTCTGGTTTACCACACGGGAACCTATTTGGGGCTGGGAAAAGCTACTATAGTCACAGAAGCCAGGAATACTGTGAGATCTGCTCCAGATCACAGTCACTTCCCTCTGAGGTCTCCAGGGGGTTTCCACAGCCAAGAAACAATGGTTAAGAAAGACAAAGTGAAAAGGACTTGAGTATGTCCTACTGTCTACTGAGCACAGATGTGTTCACTCTGAACCAGTACATTTTCTAGATGAGGAAACTGAGGAGTGGTGAGGTTAAGCAGCTTCCCCAAATTCATAGGATTAGCAAGTGGCAGAGAAGGGGATCAAACCCAGGACTGTCTGACTCTGAACCAGAGTTAGTTTTTTCTTCTTTTTTTCTTTTTCTTTTTTTTTTTTTTTTTTTAGATGAAGTCTTGCTCTGTCGCCAGGCTGGAATGCAGTGGCGCAATCTAGGCTCACTGCACCCTCCGTCTCCTGGGTTCAAGTGATTCTCCCGCCTCAGCCTCCCAAGTAGCTGGCTGGGAATACAGGCATGCGTCCCCACCCCCAGGTAATTTTTCTATTTTTAGTAGAGACAGGGTTTCACCATGTTGGCAAGGATGGTCTCGATCTCTTGACCTTATGATCTGCCCGCCTCAGCCTCCCCTTTTTTGAGACAGAGTCTCGCTCTGTCACCCAGGCTAGACTGCAGTGGCAAGATCTCAGCTCACTGCAGCTTCTGCCTCCCAGGTTCAAGCGATACTCGTGCCTCAGCCTCCCGAGTAGGTGGGATTACAGGTGTGTGCCACCATGCCTGGCTAATTTCTGTATTTTTAGTAAAGACGGGGTTTCGCCATGTTGGCCAGGCTGGTCTCGAACTCCTGAGCTCAAGTGACCAGTCTGCTTCAGCCTCCCAAAGTGTTGGGATTTACAGGCATGAGCCACCACACATGGCCTCTGAACTGGAGTGTTTAATCATTACACTGCACTCCCTGTCATCAGATGCCCTTAGAGAGGGACAAGGCAATGGACATGCTATGAGGACTGGCCCTCCAATATATCTTTTTAAAGCACTGATTAAGAACTTCTGGGTGAAAATGACAGCGTGAGACTAGATACCAGACTCTCCCTCTCCTTCCAAAACCAACAAAAAATTATAAAAGCTTATGAGTAAAAGAACTCACCAGGTGTAACTAAACAAGGGCAGGGGAGTAATTTAAAGCCATGAACTTCAAAGAATTACAGTCAAGGAAAGAAAAAGAGGATTCTGAAACTGGACCAAGAGTTGCATCACGGCATGGCTCCTGTCAAGCCCAATGAGGGGTCTCACTGGGTCTGAGTGGGGGTCCTTATCATTCCCTCTGCTGAATGGCACCAGATGCTGATGAAATAGGTCGAGAGCACAGCAGCTCCTCTGATGGAAATGAAGCCTCCATGGGGCGTGATGGGAAACCTGAGGGTATCTCTAGGAATGGGATACAGCTCCCCAAAGAGGTGAAGGACACTCCAACATAGGCCTTTTGCCAGAACCCACATATGTGAAACAGACTGCTTGCTTACTGCCTCCACAGAACCTGAGCCTTCTACTCCCCCAGGCTACAGAAAAGGAGAAAAAGTAAAACCCCTGGACCTCCCAGCTAGCAGTAAGGGGTTCCCCTCTCACACACATGGGAGGAGGGCCAGACATCTCCCCTACCCTCATATGAGAGCCGTGGAACATCCAGACAGAGCCGCTCAAATGGGAGCCAGAAGAAAAGAAACAGTATGGCAATACAGCCAACGTCCTCTTACAAAAGAAGGAAAGAACAGGTGAGCAGTGCCCAATGGCCCAACCAAGAACGCAGCCCCAGGAGCAGAGGAAATCCCCGCAAGTGCTTAGAGCAGTGGAACAACTTATTAAAAACACAAGTAAAACAAAACCTGAAAAATGAGACGCTAAAACAAAACTTGAAAAATGAGATGAAAAAGGAGATTGAAGACCTAGGGGGAACAAATCCAGGACTGAAATAAGAGAGTGCTGAATGAATACCTAAATAGAAACAGACAATCGCAGTGACAGCTGATGAACAAGGTGGAGATTGCCGCTGTTAGCAAGAAGCGAATGGATATGACGGGCAGAGAGCATCCAACACGGATTCCTGGAATCCCTGGAAGAGAGAAGCCACAAAATGGCACAGAAGTAGTCAAAGATACGAACAAAAGGAGTTTTTCTGCCATGAAGAAAGATGACGACACCATGGTCTGGGGAATCTGGTACAGAACCCTCTACTCTGAGGCATTCTCTTATGAAGCTTTTGAACTTTAAGGAATTCTTCACCTACCCGGCAGACAAGACCCTTAACAAGAGGAAAAAAAACAAAATCAGCTGGGTTCATTCTCCACAGCATCACCCAGAGCCAGAGGCAATGGCACACGGCCTGCAGCGCTGAGGGAGAGAAGCAAAGGAGGGCAGCCAGCAAGGCCAGCCCCAGTCCAACGCAGGCATTTCCCTGAGGGAAGGCAGGGTATGCGGGCCCTGTGAGCACTTTAATTTTTTTGGCGGAGCATTGGTAGGGGGACCTACTTCCTGATGAGATGCAGCTAAATAAGGGACTGATTAAAATAAAGACTCCAGGAACGGAAAAGCTGTGGGGAAACAACAGGTGGTAAAAACTGAATCTGTTTACAAATGGTAAACAGTAGGAGTTCTGATTCCTAAACATGTTTATGTTATAGACTTCGATTATGTGGTAATAATAAAATAACTAACAAAAAGTTGGAAGCTGGTGAAGTAGAGGTTAAGGAAGGGGGAGAGGGCTAATATTCTCATCTTTCATAACCAGAGCTGGCTGACACTGTTCACAATGGAAACCTAGTTAAAATAAAACTTATTGACTCAAGCCTCCTAATGTTTTTCCTGACTTCTTTTATTATTATTATTATTATTATTAGTTTGAGATGGAGTCTCACTCTGTCATCCAGGCTGGAGTACAGTGGCACAATCTCAGCTCACTGCAACCTCTGCCTCCCAGGTTCAAGTGACTCTCTTGCCTCAGCCTCCTGAGTAGCTGGATTACAGGCACGCGCCACCATGCCCGACTAATTTTTGTATTTTTAGCAGAGACGGGGTTTCACCATGTTGGTCAGGCTGGTCTTGAACTCCGGACTTCAGGTGATCCACCCTCCTTGGCCTCCCAAAGTGCTGGGATTACAGGTGTGAACAGGCATGACCCACTGTGCCTGGCCCTCTTTTATTAACCTTAGAAGGCTCTTTTGGAAAATAATCTCTCTTTTGGTAAACAAACATTTATTTAAAGAGTAGCATTTTTTTTTTCACATTTCAGTTTTTTTCTGGTTAAATTAAAATGAAATTAAAGTTAGTATTTTAAATTAAAAATAGCCAGTGTAGTAGAATCCAATTTTAATATTCTATCCTTCCATCCATCCATCTATCCATCCTTCCCTACATATATATACATTTCTATGCATAGAAAAATGTCCAAAAGTATGTTTACTTAATGCTAATGGTCATGCTTTCTAAGTAATGGGAAATCGGGTAATTTTTCTTAAATAAAATAAAATAGAATAAAGGCTGTGGGAAATAAAGCACCGGTTGGACCTCTTGGCATAATATATCCAAAGCAGATAGGGGAGAATGTCAGCAACGCAATGCCACCAATGTAATAACTAAGCCATTGCATCCTTGTGGGTGAGGAGCCAGCCTCCAGATGTGACTTGGGCCACAGAGTGTGGGTCCTCAAGCAGAATCACAGGCTCTACCCATCTCTTGCCCCTTGGAGCCTGGACCTCCCTGGGAAGGAACTCCCTCAGTGGTCTGAGGGCCGGGGGTGAGAATGCAGGCTTCCTCCCTGGGTCTGTCCACTTTGACCACAACAAAGAGCCTTTGTAAAAAGCCAGGCTGACTGTTGTGTAGCATCAGGTGCTGGGGTGCTCAACGTCCTTCAGAGTAGAAGGAGTAATTACTCATGATTTGCAGCTTGTCCAAAGATTATCTCATGGTCAGAAGTATTTATAGGCCATTTTTCTCTCTAAAGCATATCAGTGTTAATGAAAAACCACTGTCTCCTTTATCACAATACCGGTGCGTAAATGGAAAATATTACCCCAGAAACTAAGTGGGAAAAATTTTGTACTGCAGGGCACTCTTTTCAGGAACAGCAAATGCTTTGTAAATAAATAAAATGAGCTTGCTTTGTGGCAAGCATAATTTTAATGGTAATCTCTGGCTTTCATCTATTGTTGTTACTATTATGTAACAGATCACATTTTCATATTATATTTTAACAAATTATTATATAAAACAACTAAAAGCATTATGTCTATGTTCCAAAAGAATCACCTAGGGAGCTTTGAAAAAATAAATTTTCGGGCCCCACCCGAGACATAGGGCTGGTTAGAGAGTTTCCCAGGTGACTCTGGTTCATAGCCCCGGCTGCAGACCACTCCTGTAAAGCTGACCAGTGGTCACTGCTTGAACATCCGTTCCCCTTAGGGTCTTTCCTGGTGAGTCAATTGTGGGTAATGTGGGGGTTGCTCTGTTCTCTACTTTTCACTAACTTAGATGAAGACCATGTAGTCTGGCTAATCAAATTCATGGACACAAAACTGGAAGAGATAAAAAATTTACTGGATAACAAGATTCCAGGGAATCATGGCATATTGGAAGCCATCAAAAGATAAGATTTAAAAGAATACAGATGCTCCTCAACTTACGATGGGGACACATCCCAATAAACTCATCATAAGTTGAAAATATTACAAGTCAAAAATGCATTTAATACACTTAACCTACCGAACACCATAGCTTAGCCTAGCCTACCTTAAATGTGCCCAGAACATTAACATGAGCTTACAAAATCATCTAACACAAAGCCTATTTTATAAGGAAGTGTTGAATATCTCACGGCATTTATTAAATACGATGCTGAAAATGAAAAACAGACTGGCTGTATGGGTATTCAAAGTACAGTTTCTACCGAATGTGCGTTGCTTTCCCACCACTGTAAAGCTGAAAAACCATTAAGTTGAGCCATCCTAAGTCGGGGACCATCTGGGAACGTGAAGCTGACATTTAGGTGGTAAATGATTGATTACAAGATGGCTGGGACTTGCCTTAATACCAGGACATACGAAAAAGTACTGAGGTTCTTAGTCTCAAGCTGAAAATGAGCCAAGAGGACTTCCAAGCAGTATGGCAGACAGGGTTAACATGAAAAATCCTTCTTTTCCCTCCAAACACATAGAAATGCTGGATAAATTCCCAGATGCCACAAACGAAGAAAGCACTGAAAGCCTCAGCAGGGTTAGTGGAAGATGAGGCCAAAGGGCCCATGGGGTTGTTATGAGAACTGGGTCTACTCCACAGGGGCTCTACAGGGAAGGAGGTAGGGCCTTGAATACTGCAGAGAGCTGAGAGTTATAAAGAATTGTCTCATCCATGAAACAAGCTCTTGGAGATATGGCTAGAAGTTGTCTTGCCACCCAGCACTGTGGGTGGGGGAGTCACTTGTGAGAACCAGAGCACCAAGCCTGTGCCATTCACAGCTGTGGAGTCCAAGTTCATATTATCTGTGCCATGTGGGAAAGCCACACTGAGAAGTTAACACGACACCTTCCTCTGAACCGGGTGGCCTATGAGGATGGGGCAGAGATGGGTATGAGAGCTGTTCAGACATCACTATTGTGGGGCTGTGAGGTTGAAGATCACACTGCACGCATGTGCTTGTGTGTGCTGGGGCCTGGGTGCTACTGCCGTGGACGTTGATAAGCCCTGCAGGTGGCCACTCACTGGTCCCAACAAGGGCTAGGCCACTTGCAGGGACCTGAGCGCTAAAGACAAAGGTGGGGCTGGGAGGCCTGACACAGGAGTAGGTGGGGACTTACTTGTAGTTGTCATCTTCCACAAACTTCTGGAGCTCTTCAATGTAGCGTACGGACTTCAGGTACTTCTGCACATGGGGCAGCGTGGTGAGGTGATCTGCAAAAGGTGGACCAAATCCAGAGACGTTAGACTCTCCCCCTCTTTAGGCCCCCAAATAAGAAGTATAGAAATCACTGATTTCAGACGCCCCTGGGATAGCGAGACTCATTCACTCTTTCAGCAGTTGCTGAGGCTCTTTGGGGACTGGCCCTGTGCTGACTACTGGAACGTGGTGGTGGGGATCATCAGGCCTTGGTTCTGCCCTCAAGGAGTGCCCCCCAGATGACTAGGCCTTAGTCACCACACTGTGAGGTCACCATGTTTTTTTAGCCAGGAAGGAGGAGCTGTGTCTCCACTCAGATATCAGGGGCTGGGGAAAGATGGCTCCCTGGCCTCCAGAGCAGACCAGAGCCAGGTGTCTGTGCCCTAAAACAGGTTTCCACTGGGGTAACTGGGCAAGCCTCCTATACCTACCCACCAGCTGTGTGACATGAATGCAAGAATGAATGAACAGACCCTGCCCCGCCAGGTGTGGAGGCCTAACCCAGAAGCTGGCCTATGACTGGAACTGCTGCATCCTAGGAAGAAAGGGAGGGGTCCAGGCACCTGAACATGCCTGTGCCAGGCTCTGCAGCAGGTAATTTTACAGGAGTCATCTTCGTTAACCTTCACACCTGCCTCATGTGGGAGAAACAATATCCCCATTGCACAGAGGAAGAAACTGTGGCAACCTGCACAGGTCGCATTGCTGGGAAGGGCAGAGCTGGGTTTGGACTCCAGGTGATGGGAGGCTTCTGCCACATGGTGTTGCCCATCTCTGGAGGGACTGGTGTCAGCTGCTCTCTGCAGACCTTCATAGTCACTGCACTCCTTCTGATAGGGCCACTGGGTGGGACAGAACAAGCCAAGAGGAGAGGTGGAGGGAGTAGAGGAGGTCATGAAGAGGAGCAGAAAAGAGGGTGGGGAGGACCCTCGCTTTCTGGGGAGGTGCATCCAGGTGTAGCAGGAGCACCTGATGGCTCTGGCCCTTCATAGCGAGATTCTGAGCAGATCATTTTGTTTCTCTGAAGCCTCAGTGTCCCCTCTGTGAAGTGAGGATGACACCTGTTTCACAAAGCTGATGGTGGAGATGGCGCAGGTGAAGGTGAACAGTGGTGAGAGAGCATTTGCTGGGCTCTTGTGAAACGCCAGGGACTGTGCTAAGGGCTCTGCATGAATCCTATCTCCATTTTCATGCATGAGAAAACCTTCAAGGGGAGAAAGTGACTTTTCAAGAGACAAAGCTGGAATAGGAACCGGAGTCCATCTGACCCTGAAGCCCATGTCTGTGGTTGCTCTGCTGGCCAGCGGGACAATAAGTGTCCATGTATTTGTGTTGGAAAGGGCCTAGGCCAGGCGAACCCTGCACTGGGAATACAGGTGCCTCCTACCCTTCCTGTCAGAGGAAAGCTGCCCTGAAGTGTGGGAACCCCCACCCTACCTGGGGATGCTGTGCAGGGGCTGGTGAGCAGGGCTCTTGCTTCGGTGAACCCACCCTGGCTTCCCCGTGACATTCCCAAATGGAGGCTGTGGATTTTCTCACACCCTATGCACAGCAGGTGAGGCCGGGTTCCTTCCTACCACCCCTCTTTGGTGCTTCCAGACTTTTACTCCTCTGCCGTCTTGTGAAAGCCTTGCTCCCCAGAGGCAGGTGCCTAGAGCCCCACACCCCATGCACCACACCCCCTTCACGGCTGACTTTGGCTGACTGGCCGCCTGCTCATCAGTGCTAATTCCCAGAAGACTTGAGCACCTGGCTCACAGTCAAGCTCCACACCCCAAGTCTGCCATCTTCTCGGGTAAAATCAATCCCCACATGGATGGCCCATCCAGCATTCTGACATCATCTCCAGTGATTTTCTCCATCCCTCTTACACACCCACCATCATGGGCACACTGTGGATCTGGCCACGTGCAGCAGAGTGTGGCCAAGTCCCTTACCACATCGATTCCCTTCTCCTAGGCCCACAGCTAGATTATATTTCCTAGCCCCTGTCAGCAAAAGTGGCCTGCACTGGCCACTAAAACCCTGGCCCATAAAACCCACCCTTGTATTGTTCTCTCTCATCCTGCACCTGCCAGCTGGATGCAGTGGAGGATTCTGAGGCCATGGAGATGGCAGAGTCACAGAAGAAAGAAGACTGATCCCCGAATCTGCTTGGAGGAGAGCTGCCCAGAAAGCTCTTCATGAATGAATGACCCAGGAGCCAGAAAGACCTGGGCTCTGCCACTCACTAGATGTGAGATTGTGGATGGACAAGTGACTAAACTGTTTTCAGCCTCAATTTCCTCACCTGTAATACAGAAATAGTAACAACTAGTTTGCACAGCTCTTGAAGATCAAACCTATGTATAAAAGGATCTAGTACATGTTTGATGCTCAAGATATTAAAATGAAGAACTTTGTAATTCTTTGTCTGGTTTCTAGAGCTTTCTCACTGATAGGACCCAAATTTCAATGAGGCAAGATTTCACAATTCTAACAACAAGGGTACTAACCATAGCTGCAGGAAACTTGTAAATCAGCAATTATTCGAAGAATATTGTTCATCTGATTGGATCTTTGTTCGTTTTCCATGATGCTGCCTGAGGCAGGATATGCAGAATCAATGTAGATTAAATCCAGAAGATAGATTCCTAAAATTAAAGAAGATATTTCATGACGGAAGGAGCTTACCACAAACCAGAACCAAATAGCACAAAACAGTACTGATCTGCTAAAAAAAATATAAAGGATGACTTACGGAAAACTGAGATAATCTTTGGACTTTAATTCTAATCCTGATTACTAATTTTTTCACACAGCACTGCCCAACTATAAATCAAACATCTGAGCAACAACCACAATGTATGCCGGCAAGATTTCAGCGTTTCTAGTTCAAATACTCTCCAGCAATAAGGCTTTTACCTGCAACCCAACCAGAAAATAACAGGACATGAAAGGGCTGAGCACTTGTGTCTCTTACCAACTGCTGAAGTTTAATAGGTCTAAGGTGCCATGTCCAGGAGAACACCCATTTGGGCTGAATTCAGTTTTTCCTTTATTTGCCCAGCTGTCTGTCTATTTGTCTGTCTGTTCCCCCACCTCCACCTCACCATACATTAACTAAGAAACAAAAGAAAAAATTTAAAAAGTAACAGCTCTCAGTACAAAGAACTGAAGCTAGAGAATTTGGCCAATGGTGCTTAATAAGAAAATAAGATGTGAAATAAAAATACCGCTATGTTACAGAAATAGTAACATCTAGTTTGCACAGCTTTTGAAGATCAAACCTATGTCTAAAAGGATCTTAATAGGATCCATCACAGGCCAGTGATAAGCTGGGGGGATCTGAGGACAAACTGCCTGGCTGGGGAAGGGGAAGGGCTGCTGGCTATGCAGCCACTACACAGTTCTTAGCTGGCTGACTAGCTGCAGGGCCGAGCTCCAGACCACCTGGAGATCTGCATGGGCCAAGGATGGAACATCTTTTCAGCTGCCCTCCATGAGCACTGCTATTGTGCCCACCACACTGGCAGAGTTGGGCAGGAGAAGTGACATAAAGCAGAATTCAAGGCAGAAAACATTAAGCAAAGCAAGGAAGAGGGCTTGCTCTAAAAAATAAAAGTCCAGGTGATCGAGAATATCCAATGGTTACAAATTTCTATGCATAAAGAAGTAACACATCAAATTATACATAGTAAAAAAAAAAGTTAGAAATGAAAAGTGAGTTCAAGGAAAACACAACCATAGAGAGAGGCTTTGGTATATCTCTTCCAGAATTTATGTAAGTATATATGTATACATTATACACACACATATATATACACACATATATACATACATATATTGATGCAGTGATATAGTATTACAGTAACAAAGTTAACAAGCTTGGGGCAGAGCATGGGGGCTCATGCCTGTAATCCCACCACTTTGGGAGGCCGAGGTGAGTGGATTGCTTGAGCCTAGGAGCTCGGGACCAGCCTGGGCAACATGGCAAAACCCCATCTCTACCAAAAACGAAAAATTAGCTGGGCATGGTGGTGCATACCTGTAGTCCCAGCTATGTGGAAAGCTGACGCAGGAGGATTGCTTGAGTCCAGGAGGAGGAGGCTGCAGTGAGCTGAGATCGTGCCATTGCACTCCAGCCTGGATGACAGAGCAAGACTCTGTCTCAAAAAACAAAACAAACAAACAAACAAACAAAAAAATAGGCCAGGCACGGTGGCTCACACCTGTAATCCCAACACTTTGGGAGGCCAAGGCAGGCAGATCACCTGAGGTCAGGAGTTCAAAACCAGCTAACATGGTGAAAGCCCATCCCTACCAAAAATACAAAATTAGCCAGATGTGGCAGTGGGCGCCTATAATCCCAGCTACTCGGGAGGCTGAGGCAGGAGAATCACTTGAACTCAGGAGGCGGAGGCTGCAGTGAGCTGAGATCGTGCCATTGCACTCCAGCCTGGATGACAGAGCAAGACTCTGTCTCAAAAATAAAAAATAAAAAATAAAAAATAAAAAAAATAGGCCAGACACGGTGGCTCACGCCTGTAATCCCAGCACTTTGGGAGGCCAAGGCAGGCAGATCACCTGAGGTCAGGAGTTCAAAACCAGCCTGGCTAACATGGTGAAAGCCCATCTACCAAAAATACAAAATTAGCCAGGTGTGGCAGTGGGCACCTATAATCCCAGCTACTCGGGAGGCTGAGGCAGGAGAATCACTTGAACCCAGGAGGCAGAGGTTGCAGTGAGCTGAGATCGGGCCATTGCACTCCAGCCTGGGCAACAGAGCAGGACTCTGTCTAAAAATAATAATAATAATAAGCTTGGTTTTCTATAAATGAAAATAGTTCTTTTCAGGTACCCATGGAGTACAAAACTTGATTAAAGAAAACAGTAAGTCCTAAAAAGTAAATGCTGTATTATCTATTTTCATTGACCTTACTACATCTAGGATTTAACAATAAATACAGGAAAAAAAAAAAAAAAACAACAAAAACTAACCATTTGAAAACACACATGCATGCACACACACTCATGTAACTCTTAGGTCAAAGAAAATATAAAAAATCTGTTTGAAGAATTTATTTGAAGACAATGACAAAGAGAATACTACATACCAAAACTTATGGGTTCTGACCAAACTGGTAATCAGGGAGAAATTTATAGCCTTAAAAATTTGCTATTAAACAACTAAGAATTATTACAAACATTGGAATTAACTTGGTTAATTACATAAAAGTTGTGAGGGTTTGTGCATGGCTAGATGAGCACTGCACTAAGAGTTATATGTTCATTATCTGATTTATTCTTCTAACAACCTATTTTACAGAGAAGGAAAAGGAAACTCAGAGAGGATGTGTAACTTGCTCAAGGTCATGCAGCTGGTAAATGATAGAGACAGGAGTCGAACCCAAGCCTGCCCCCTCCAGAGTACACACTTCCTGCCGTTACAGTGGAGCACTGGTGCTAGATACCATGAGTCATTCGTCTGCTTTTAAAATAGATGCACATTGTTACGGGAAACTGTTAAATCACAGAAACATATGCTGATGCTTCTCACAGGAGCCATTTCCACTTCCTTTCTTCCTGGCGGTACCATGTTTCCAAAATTTTAATAATTAGAAATAATTTCCCTTGTAGAGAAGCTCCAAGTTTGGTGAGTTTGAATCCACAGATTTATTCTCTCTCTTCACCTTGTTTTTCTTCTCCCCTCTTAAAAATGTAACTCAGTTACCACCCTGAAGCCTCCGCAACGGCAATCCTGAACATGCTATTACTGCTTCAACTACAACAAAAAGCATCCTCTAGTGCATGGCAGGGAGTGAAGAGATGTGGGACATGGGGCAGCTTTATTCCAGACGCAATGTGCAGACCTCGGTCCAGCTGGCTCAGAGTGGCAGAGTGAAAGCTCAGCCCAGGAGCAGAGAAACTGGAGAGTAGGATGGGGGGAAAGGAAACTTGCTCCCTGGGGATCACATCCAAGACAGGAACTTCCCTCCTGTCTCATGGGATTGTGCCACCAACCCTGCTAAGTAGGAGGAGAAAACTAAGCTCAGAGAGATTAAGAAACCTGCCTAAGGCCTCACAGCAAGGGTGATGGAATTTGAACCCAGGTCTATCAGGCTGCTGCACCCATGTTCCCACCCACTGGTCATCAGAAACACAGAGGGAGTTGCCTCTTCTCAAGTAACACCCTCAACACGAAAGGCGCACCCCATGCTGCCCTGTGAGGACAGGTGCCGGGCACTGGGCCTCCTCTTGGGTTCCTGGAGGTGGATCGCTGAGTGGTGCTCTGCAAACTGAGGCCCACAGAGTTCATAATTCCCCTCTACAAAACATGCAGATGCTCACACCTGCCTATTCCTCAAGACCCAGGAGTGTGAGCTGAGGCCATACCTGCTGAGGACTGGGTAGAGCACCCCTCAAAAGGAAGCCTTCTGGCTCCAGTGATGTGGGGAGACCTTGAGCCTAGGCAATGCCTGGAAAGAACCTCCATATAAATAGCCTTTTCACTCCCACAACAAAAACCACAGCACAAGCGGCAAGTCTCCTACAGTTAATGCTGCACAAATCCACAGAAATCTTTTCAGTACTGTATTAGTCCACAACAGAGATACGTATAAGCCTAAACTATAATGAAATCATAAGAATAACCACCTTCCACTTGAACCGTGTCAGGCACAGTGCTGAGTCCTACATGGAGTCGGCACTCCCCACAACTGCACTCAGACACTTGTTTGCATCAGGCCTAACGCCTCGAGGGCAGGAAGTGTGTCTTGCTCCAGGAGCTCAATCTCCACCATCTAGAACCGAGCACACAGGAGCTGCTTGGTAAATGCTGGCTGACAAAGGAGTGCATGAGTGAAGGCATACTTTATTTAATCATACAATAACCTTATGAAGCACATGTTACCCTCGTTTTGTGGCTGAAGAGAGAGCCACCACCGTCAAGTGATGACAAAGAGAGCTAATGCTTACCGAGCACTTACTGGGTGCCAGGTCCTAAACTAAGAGCTTTGCCCAGATTATTGATTCATAAGAAAAACGCTGTTGTCAGGGAGGTTTCATTGTGATTTTATCAGGGAAGAAACTGAAGCTGAGAGTGGTTACACCGCTTGTCTGTGGCCACACAGCTGGGAAGTGGCAGAAGCAGGATTTGAGCACAGGTCTGTCCAGGTTGCCTATGGGCGGTTCTTCTTTTACTCCAGCCAGACTCTCATGTATGGCAGCCAGTGAGGCAAGATAGGGGTGCAGGTGAACCCAAGCTATGGCTGTCCCTGCCTGATTTCCCTTATGGGGTCAACACTCTCCAAGAGGGCTCATGACTCTACTGTAGCTGCCTCCCCTGTGCCATCTACCACCTGCCACTCTCCACTTCCCTCACACCCACTGTGGTCAGTCTGGTCAGCCGCCAGGTCCCATCATCAGTGTCCCATCCAGTCCTGGGGGCCCTTCCAGCTCTGCCACATGACAAGCAGCTGTGGTATAAGTGAGAGAACGTGGGGCACGGATCCAGGAGACTCGGAACCCTGGCTCTGCCACTCACCAGCTGGGTGGCCTTAGGCGAGCCTTTGTACCTCCCAGGGCCTCAGTTTCGTTGACTATGAATAAGGATAATAACAGTGGTTTACAGGAGTCTCCCAGTCCAGGGCCT